ATGGATCCGTCCCTGAAAATGAGGTACTGGTTAATAGGAACAAAGGTACGTATTTGTGTTTAACTTCATCTTGTTGAATCGGAGTCAGAACATCTTTATAGTCACTCGTTGATTTGTTTTCTCGCAAATATCAAATGGGTCATGTTATGAGAAAATTTTACGCCTCTAGTAATCTAGAAGGGGAATAAGATCAAACAAATTTATTTTTGCAAAAGAAAATGGAAAGATCAAAGCAGACTTATTCTGCTATTTTGGATGAATTATTGTCTTACATATCTTATTCTTTTGAGGTATTCTCGATGTCTGCTACGATTAGGTCTTTTGTTAGATAAAAATAATGATATCTAGTATCACTGACGCTACGACACTAGTTTTAGGTTAGATTAAATGATAGACTCAATGAAAGGTATAATGAAGTTATTCATTTAATTATATCTCTCATTTAATATCACATTAGTATCACCTAAACTAATCTTTTAACATCAATAGTGCTAAATAGCATTACTCGTTAAATAATTGGTAGGAGGAGCCAAATGTCATCAAATGGTGGTATCTATTTTATTTCCTTTTTTGGGTTTTGGAAGCAGGTATGTACTTTCTTTGTGAAATTAGAAAACTTTATAATAATTCATTGCAAAATTTTCTTGGACATACCTCCACCAAATAATGAAATTTAGTTCTCTTAGAGGCACAACGGGCGTTTTTGTTGCTTTCTCTGCCAGTTTAATAAATTTGACTCATCAACATTACAATGAAACCTAAATATGAGATGTCATTTGTAAGAGCATCTCGATAATCAAAGATGCAAGAGTTGGAACCTAAAGAACTTGGATTAAGAGAATTTTCAAAATATGTTTTATTAGGGTGTGTTTGGTGGATATTATTGAGGAAAGAATGTATTTTAAATAAAGAGATGATGGAAAATATGTAGTTAAAAGGTAAAGAAAAGTTATTGATGTCATGGAAAATATTATTTTATTGAAGAATGTGTGGTTGAAAATGAGTTTTGAAAGAATGTGTGTCAAACATGAGCTTAATCTCATATCTTTTATTTTAAAGAGGCGCAATTTAATTTTTTTAAAGATTCAGACAAACTCTATTCTAAAATATAAAATAAAGAGTGGATTTGTAGATAGTCAAACTCACTCTCCTCTTAGTACTTTCTTTCTTCGATCATGCTACATTTACATTCTCCCTTACACATTTTCTTACACTCTTCCACATGACAACATCTATACTTTTAATTTTGAACTCATCCATCATATCACTGCACAAATTTTCTCCACATAGGGGCAATGTCAACTCTGGTGTCATGCAAATGTACATATTCTTTTATTCGTTCGCTAGTTTTTATTCATCTCTTTCAAAATAGAGTTAAATAATAAAATGAAAACGAGGAAAGCTAGGTAAAAGAAGAAGGAAATGTTAAATCAAAATTGCTCATAAAAAAAAATAATAATAAAGATTACATATGAAGTGTTATTGGACCTTTACAAAAACTTTAACTCTTGTATTTATTCTTCAAAATGCTCTTCATTTTAAAAAAGATACTCTTTAAATCAATGAGCATCATTGGAGTGCTTTTATTGGTGATGCAAGTGGATCCGAGTCAGAAGAGGCCAAACTGTTTGATAATATGTTAATGGCGCTGAGATACCATGAGTTTGCAGATCAGCGCAAAATTAACAAATAATCATCAACATTTCCTAATTGTGGCCCTTTTTGGACACGTTTCAGTATTTTGGCCATAACTTTGGCTACGGTTGTCGGAATCACTCCCATTGCCCCAATTCGAAAAACTCTTTTCGGCGCGTACGTCATGGTATGCTCGGGGTGCATCGTTTTCGATGTCAAATTCAGCTGTTTTCCCTTCCGAATCATCAATTTAAGTTATTTTTTGTCATTTTTAGTAATATTTCAATTTTATTTTTGACATAGATTACGATCTCAAATTAAGCCAGATTTTTGAGATCTTATTTCTGTCATTAAGTATTTTCTTTTGGTATGAATAATAGGATTTTGTTATTTTTGGTATTATTACTTTCTTTGTGAAATTAGAAAACCTTATAATAATTCATTGCAAAATTTTCTTGGACATACCTCCACGAAATAATGAAATTTAGTTCTCTTAGAGGCACAACGGGCGTTTTTGTTGCTTTCTCTGCCAGTCAACCCACATTGCTTTCATTTTTATCCATATCCCTTGTTAACATCGACTTAGAGATGTGATGAATTTTTTTATATTTGTATTTCACATACACATTAAATTTAATTTTTATTTTTTTTAATAAATTTGACTCATCAACATTACAATGAAACCTGAATATGAGATGTCATTTGTAAGAGCATCTCGATAATCAAAGATGCAAGAGTTGGAATCTAAAGAACTTGGATTAAGAAAATTTTGAAATATGTTTTATTAGGGTGTGTTTGGTGGATATTATTGAGAAAAGAATGTTTTTTAAATAAAGAGATGATGGAAAATATGTAGTTAAAAAGTAAAGAAAAGTTATTGATGTGATGGAAAATATTATTTTATTGAAGAATGTGTGGTTGAAAATGAATTATGAAAGAATGTATGTCAAACATGGGCTTAATCTCATATCTTTTATTTTAAAGAGGCGCAATTTAATTTTTTTAAGATTCAGACAAGCTCTATTCTAAAATATAAAATAAAGAGTGGATTTGTAGATAGTCAAACTCACTCTCCTCTTAGTACTTTCTTTCTTCCATCATGCTACATTTACATTCTCCCTTACACATTTTCTTACACTCTTCCACATGACAACATCTATACTTTTAATTTTGAACTCATCTATTATATCACTGCACAAATTTTCTCCACATAGGGGCAATGTCAACTATGGTGTCATGCAAATGTAGATGTTCTTTTATTCGTTCGCTAGTTTTTATTCATCTCTTTCAAAATAGAGTTAAATAATAAAATGAAAACGAGGAAAGCTAGGTAAAAGAAGAAGGAAATGTTAAATCAAAATTGCTCATAAAAAATAATAATAATAATAAAGATTACATATGAAGTGTTATTGGACCTTTACAAAAACTTTAACTCTTGTATTTATTCTTCAAAATGCTCTTCATTTTAAAAAAGATACTCTTTAAATCAATGAGCTTTATTGGAGTGCTTTTATTGATGATGCAAGTGGATCCGAGTCAGACGAGGCCAAACTGTTTGATAGTATGTTAAAGGCACTGAGATACCATGAGTTTGCATATCAGCGCAAAATTGGCAAATAATCATCGACATTTCCTAATTGTGGCCCTTTTTGGACACGTTTCAGTATTTTGGCCATAACTTTGACTACGGTTGTCAGAATCACTCTCATGGCCCCAATTCGAAAAACTCTTTTCGGTGCATACGTCGTGGTATGCTCGGGGTGCATCGTTTTCGAGGTCAAATTCAGCTGTTTTCCCTTCCGAATCATCAATTTAAGTTATTTTTTGCCATTTTTAGTAATATTTCAATTTCCTTTTTTTACATAGATTACGATCTCAAATTAAACCAAATTTTTGGGATCTTATTTCTGTCATTACGTATTTCCTTTTAGTATGAATAATAGTATTTTGCTATTTTTGGTAAAATTCAGATAATTATTATTTTCTAGTTATTTAATCCGGCTTGTGGGTTATTTTCGTTCAATTGTTGAATAATAAAGATTTTCTCGTTTTTCTTGGTGTTATTCTCTTGCGTTCTTCAGTGTTATTGTCTATTAGTTCCAGCCTGCAGAATAATTACTATTCTGCCTGACGTTAATTGGCGTAGCCCTTATTTGAACGAATATAGCCCCTATTTTGCAGAGATTAAAATTAATTTTTTAGCAAATTTTGATAAAAGTTAATGAAATATGTGGTTGAAAAGTTATGAATTATATGAAATGTGTGGTTAAAATTAATTGTTTTAGCAGTACAAAACATGGGCATAATGTACAAAATAATTAGATTTTTGAAGGGAAATCTCTTCAGAAATTGAAATACCGTTTGATGCACATTTTTGCTCAAAAAATGTATTTTTTGGTTGATGTGATGGGAAATATATGGTTGAAAAAAGAAGGAAAAGTTATTGATGTAATGGAAAATATTATTTTATTGAAAAATGTGTGGTTGAAAACAAGTAGAAGAATGAGAATGAAAAAAATAATGTGGCTCAAACATGAGCTTAATTTTTCAAGAAAACAAGTCCGGCAACGAGTTGGGAAAGGTCACGATCATAACAATTCATGTCCCCCTGGTAATTTTTGGAAGTCGGGGAGGGAAGATGCCCTTTATAAAAAAAAAATTCCGCCTTGTTTACTATTCAGAGTGGAGCAATGCTAGGTCGGGTCGATGTAAAATTTTGCCATTCTTGATAGAATCAATTGTAATTTCTAGTACACAAATTGATGGCATTAGCTAATTTTGGATGGTGACCTATAACAAATGTGAACTACTCATGTATCGACACGTCCTACCATCCAATTTTAGAGGAACCTACAATTCAAATTTTCCTAATTAAATTTTGACGAATTGGTAACCACGTGAAAATCCTCCATTTTTTTTGGAAACAAAATCTTTGTGTTTGTGATTTTGATTTTGAGGCAATCTTGGCACTAAGTTTTGTAATTATTAATTAATGATCGAAAAATGGACCTTAACCTTCCATTTTTAATTTTTTTTTTCTTTTGCCCGTAATTTATAATGGAAAATTCTATTTGTACATAATTTTTTACCTACTGTCAATTCGATAAAACATTAGGTGAAAAATTAGGTACGCGTAGCATAACTCCTTTATAATATATAATTGAACCCTGAAATTCAAAACTTCGATTTCTAATTAAAGTAAGATGAAAATGTGAGTAGTTGAGAACTTGTACATAGTTCACCTACTCGTCCTGAATTGGTGCACTATTCCACCTGCATGCTACTTCTGTATTTAAACCATAGAAAAAGGATAATTAGACGTAATTGGAGCTGGGAAAACTTCGAATACCAGATTAAGAGAAGGCATGATGGATAAAGATATCGAAAAGCCGAGAGTTTGTGTTGTTGATGCATCAGCTTATGTTGGATTTTGGATACTCAAGAAACTACTCATCAAAGGATATCGAGTTCATGCAGCTATCCAAAAGAACGGTAAAATATGTCTCTCTTTTTTCAAGAACGTACATGGAGGTGTCAAAATATGTCAAAACGATACCTTTACAAAGGCCGAGATCAGATCTCCTGTCCCCAATGAGTAGGATAAAAAATTCTCACCGCTAACTTGAAAATCATAAGTAAGGTTCTCTTGCAAAGTCAGCAGTGAGAAGTTTTTATTTGAAACTAATTTCATATGGACCCCCCTTTTGTTTGCAAGATTGGATAGAATGTAAATATCAACTAGTTTGCTTGTTTGTATTTTTTGGTATAGGGGAGAAAGAGATAATCAAGAAAATAACAGACTTACAGAAGACAGAGAAAGGATTAACTACATTTACAGTGGATATGTTGGATTATCATAGCATTCTTGAAGCAGTGAAGGGCTGTTGTGCTTTGTTTTGCTGTTTGGATAGCCCATTTCAATATGATGTAAAGCTCTACTTCTTTTCAACAACTTGAGTATTTAATTTGAGCTTATAATTTTTGTAATATTTGCAGGAGAAAATGGTGGATATGGAGGTTAGAGGCGCCATTAATGTGGTGGAGGCATGTGCACAGACAGACAGTATGGAGAAGATTGTGTTTACTTCTTCTTTAACTGCAGCAGTATGGAGACAAAATATAAATTCAGATCACCAAGACGACGTCGATGAAAGGTCTTGGAGCGATCAAGATTTTTGCTGGAAAATGAAGGTTCGATTTTATTCTATTCGATTTTTTTCTATTTGTCTTGTTAATATATTAAGAAAACTATAGTGATGACTTACTTTCTTGAATTACACTACACAGTTGTGGTATGGTTTAGCAAAGACGCTTTCTGAGAAGGCTGCTTGGGCTTTAGCCATGGACCGCTTGCTTGACATGGTGTCAATCAATCCTGGTCTAGTTATTGGCCCTGCTGTTGCTCAACAAAATTCACAAGTGACAATGTCATATCTTCAAGGTAAAATGTTGTTTCTGTATTGGTCAATCAATAGAAAAAAGGGTTAACAAGTCTGTGAATTATGGTGAACAGGTGGAGAACAGATGTATGTGAATGGAGTTTTAGCTTTTGTTGATGTAAATTTTCTAGCCGATGTTCATATTCGAGCTTTTGAAGATAGATCAACAATTGGCAGATATTTCTGCTTCAATCAAATTGTGAACTCAGATAAAGAAGCTCTAAAACTCGCGCAATCCTTGACCCCTTTAATTTCCATACCATCCAGGTATTTCTCGCTTGCCCTTGTGTATGTCAGTATGTATTTATGTATATGTTAACAGAATATAATTTTTGGTGTGTTTTGCAGCTATAATTTGGAAGAGAGTGAAGTACATGCTGAGAGATTGAGGAGCACAAAACTTGGCAAGTTGGTTGAAGGCGCTGCCTATTAGCATTTTATTATCAATGAGGACTTGGTATACGATGACAGTTCTCTAAATCTTAATATTTCCATTTAGTGATTTGAATCTTGTACTCAGACTGAATTATTGATGTAATAAAGCATGCCCATTTCCTTGGTGTAAATTAGAGTTCCTTAATAAAAAGTAGAGAGAGTAAGGGATCGATCTAAACTGACATGATATGTGGTAGTTGCTTTAGATTCGGCAACATGAGAAAGTGTCGAAGGCTGTACAAGTTGTGCTGTAGACTCTCCTATCAGCTCTTAAAGTTGAAAAAACATATATATTTAGCAAAGAGTAACGAGTGCTATATATTTTTTTTTTTTCCAACTAAAGCGACTTCTATTTATTAGGAAAAATAGGTTGGTAGTTGGTTAACTACTTTCTCCCACTTTGGCAAGTGAATCTTGATACATAACAAGGGCTAGCAACCCATGAAATTGGCTGCTTTGTGAGTAGGGGTGTAATTTTGATCTGAGTCGCCTAGCCTATTAGTAGCCCGGCGTAATCTGTACCATATGCCAGCCGGCCAGTCTTCTCAGAAAGGTCATGCTGTAATCAAGCCCACAGCCGGACCATCCAGGCGTCAATCTCCATTTCAAATATTTTAGCTCACATTATTGTGGAATTCTGGAAAGGATTATGTAATTTGTAAACTCTTTTTTTACACCCTTGTTGACATTTGCATTGTTGTCAACAAATAATTGAAGGAAAAAACTTTATTTTAAAATTGTCCTGTGGATAATGCCACATGACACAGTGTAAACAATGGTATACACCATTATGTACACCAAACACGATTGATATGAAAATAAATGCTATCAGAATGTCATGCAAATTCTGTGTTCTTCCAAAATAAACATTTATTCTTAATTCCTTTACTAACACCAAAATCTACAGAAACAGATAGTCAGGACTAGTTCAAATTGTGTTTTTCATATGAACTGCTCAATCAACAAAACTATCAAGTGTCTAAATGTTCTGTGATGAAAAATTAAAGCCAATTTGCATTAATTTCTGGAGGTGGCCCCCCCCCCCCCCCCTGATGAAGGTCAAATTTTCATATCGCGACTTGTGATATTCTCTGGTTAGTTTTTGCCTGCAGTACCCGCATCCAGGCTTCACCACAGTTGAGTGAGTGCACTGGAACCGGACATGTTAGATTTTTTTTTCCTGTTTTATATTTTGGGTTCAGGCGGTGAGACGGAAAACGAGTGACTTCTGATATATCTCCTATTTATTAAGCCTAAAAATGAAGTAACAAGAGCAAAACCAATTCAATATTCACGTGACTACCCTGCACAAGTATGTCGAAAACCCTCTGAATGATTTATGAAGCAACAAAAACTAACCATAATATATATACTTCATCCACTCCCTCTCTTCTGCTTTTCACAGCATATCCACGACTTCCACTTTGATGCTTCAGCAACTGCTTCATGACTAATTTAAATTAAGCTCAAACCAGAAGGCTGGTCCTGACTTGGACAAGGCTTAGATTCTTGCTCGATGAAAGGATTGCCCAAGGGATTCGTAGAATCATGACCAATCGTTGATTGTTCTCGATGCTGTTGAAGCTTGAATGCTTCTTCTTGATGAGGAATTACAGCCATCTGATGTGCATTACTTTGTTGTTGATCTTGTTGCTGCATGAGATCTTGTTGTCGGAGCATTTCAGTCATCTGCGTGTAATTCATCTGCTGATAATATTGCTGCATGAACTCTTCTTGTTGCTGGGACATTTCATTCATCTGTGCATAATTTGACTGTTGATGTTGGTATTGCAGGACTGCATCTTTTTGTTGCGGCATTTCCATCAACTGCTGATAATTCAGCTGAGCTATACCATCATCCTCGAAAGGATTTGATGAGAACATACCTATGTGATTGGTTCCATTTGGATTTGTTTTCGTCAATGCAACATCATATAAACTATCCAGTGTTAATCTATCCAGTCCACCTCCCTGATTTTATATAATTGTATAGAGAAAGAAAAGAAGCAACTTTTCAGGATATATTTGAAGGATGGTGCAAGCAAATCCAAATGATTCGTACAAAACGGAAATTATGGATCACAGATAAATATTAGTAAAGCATCTATAAAATTTAGCTTCTCTCCTTACAGAACTGAAGTTTTATGAAATGAGAAAGTTGGGTACTATGTTGCCCAAACATTTCAAAATTGTGAAGTCCTTGGACAAGATACTCTTCAGACATGCAGTACAACCCAGTACAATTTGTTGTGGGGTAAAAATATTGTAGCCTCACGACTAAGCAGATGCATGTATATTCTGCTGTTGGGTTTTATTCCCTACAATGCAATAGAATTTGGAGTAGAGCCAAAAATAATTTCAGATTTTCAGCGCTATAAGTAGATTGCATGTATCTTCTGCTAATAACAACTACATAAAATGTAAGGGGAATGTGCTCATATAAGACTTCTAACTGGAAGCAATTAAAGATGGATTTTTTTGCGACAGAGCATCACAGAAAACCATTAATAAAAATACGTGCTTAAGTCAATTCAAGTTTATGGCGAAGACATACCAGTTTAGTCGTTGTTACAGCTGCAAAATTAGAACCTGGTGCCATAGTTAGTGCAAGCTCCCAACCGGTAGGCTCGCTCGGGGGATCAGAGCTGATTTCAGGATTGGACAGCTCTTCTAAACACAATTGCAAAAATAAATCACAGACCTGAACACCTCTTAAGTGATGTTAGTTGTTAATAATAGAAAACAAGATTCACCAGTTGTAATAGTCGAAAGGGCAAGGGAAATGTTATCATCCGGCTCAGAGGCTTCTTGGCATGGCTCATCCCAGCTCTGAGAATAAAAAGAAATTCGATGAGGATAAATTACAAGGCATGCATCAGTATTTTGCTAGGATTCCATAAATAAGGAAAACACTACCAATAGATCAGGAATCAAAGGTGTAGCTCCAGATTCACTGTTATCAGTCTTTGAAATCTCTGGAGAATCGACACATGGATGAGCTTCTTCAGTGTCAACGAGAAGTTTAGGATCAGTCTCCAAATTGGCTTCAGGAATAGCAATTGCTTTCGAAGTAGTGCTTTTATCATCGTCATTCTGAACACCCAAGGGGATATATAAGCTATGCTAGAGATGTTTCACACTCACATCAAGAAACAAGGGTGATTCATTGGTTGCTAATGTTTCCAGGCTTTACCTAAATATAAGAAGGGGTGAAAGAGAAGAAGGAAACTTAAGAAGTTCTATTATATTTATTTCAGAAGCAGTTCGAGCTTATACACTGTATTTGGAAAAGAAAATCATGGAAAAAAGAAATTATTTCATTTGAAGTATTTACAGGCTTTGCCTAAATTCAGTACATGCACATACCGTTCTCCAGGGAAGCATCAAAGTTTGTGGGGCTTCCATTACGTATTCTTCCATGGCTTTTATAAATGATGCAGGGGGCTGAAGTTTGATATCCAAGTAAAGAGTGGTGTGAGAACCAAAAAATACTGTAGTTAAGAAAAAACTTCAGGATTTGAAGAAACAAATGAGTGACAATCCAGGTACGCGGTTTAGAACCTGCGCAATTTTGACGTATTTCTGCCCTTGTCCAAAGCCAAGGCCCCTGCAGATCTCAAAGAACTCAGACAGTCTCTCCGCCTACAGTAATATGTGTCCCACGTTATGCAAGGCATATAGTGTGAAATTTAGTCTACATGGGCATTAGAAAGAAAGATGTGACACATACCTGATCCCCAGACTTCTTATAAATTTCAAGTGCTTTGACAGCATCATGACGATGCATCTCAAAGAACTGTTGAAGGACAAAAGTCAGTAATTCTTTAAATATCTGTACTCTATGGAAATAAAAGGAAATATACAAAACTAATTTGTACCTTGTCGACCAAATTAAGAACTCCATCAGTTATTGCTACATAAAGCCTAACACTTTCAGCCGCAACCTGAGAACATCAGAAAGAATAAATTTGAACAAAATAAAGTTAAGAATATTGATGAAAAGAGAATCTTGAGGAAAAAATCATAAGTGAATGCTTACAATTGATAGTGCATACTGGATCAAGAAATTATATCGAGCAACTCCAACTGGCTGTACAATGGCACATGACCATCATTCACCAAAGAAATAAAACTATGTTAACTCACTTGAACAAATGAGTAGTGAAAATATTTAGGCATTAATACAAATATATAAATAAGTGATCAAGAAATTGACGATGCAATACCTGGCAAGCAAGCAAGCGAAAAAGAAGGCGTTGCAAAGAAGGTAACTGCTCAAGCAAATCTGGTGTGTCAAGCCTCTTTGTTTTCTGTAAGGAACAGATTGTTACCACATAGTAAAGAAGTCAAATGAATACTCAACAACCCATTTGATACTCATGAATAGTTGCATAGATAGTAAAAAAAAGGGTGAAATGATACAATGCATTCAATTCACACATCTCAAGACATGCCATCCATGATGGCATGTGGTAAATCTGGAATATTACATTCCTTTAGGCCCAATACATTCAGCAACATTAAAAACCACTTTTTTGCAGTCACCAGTTGAATAAGAACCTACAAAGAGCAACATTGAGAGCAGACACACACTATATTTTATCTGTTAGATCATATAATACTAATTCAATATTATCTTCAACCACAATTAGGATGGTGTATTGCCAATAACCATATCCAAGTGTGTCCATGATTTGTGAGGGATACCTTTTCGTTTACGAATTTAACTGCTGTACAGTTTTATGGATCTTACTAAATTGGCATCTTTATAATTTTAAAATAAGAAAGAACATGTAAGAGGAAATAAAAAAAATTGAATTGCTCGAACAAGGTCATAAAAATATAGAAGAATACAACATACAACTAAAATTTCTGCATTAAACATCATAATCCAGAGGAATAATTAGATTCACCACAAATTCACCCAATTTACTATATAGCAGTCAAATGAAAAAAAAAAAAGAAAAAGGGCGAAATCATTGCCTTGATAGTTTTGAACTCAACAAAAAAGAAATAAATAAACAATCTAACATCATAAATTAGAATAAATTTCATAATACAATAATTGCATTCCAAGATGAATTACATACCGAGTGATCTCTTTGGAAATCATATTTCAGTATGCGGAAACATTCCAGACGTTCCTCAAGATATAAAGCATATATACGTATCCAAGTAGAATACTCCCATGCTTAACAACAGGAAATCCCAAATGGTCAGTTCTCCATAGTACAGATTTCTGATTGCTATAAATTAAAGAATAAGGATTACCACTGGGGCTCGAATCATCCTTAAAATGTGACAAATTTAACACATGACCTCTACATCCGCTATACCCAGTCAGTTCCTCACGAAACGATTGATCAACTTCTCTTAATGCGCGATGCATAATGATTAATGTTTTTATTGCAACCTGAGAATATATTAAACAATATACAAGAGAAATTTTAAAATCACTGATTATGAGTAACTAGACAATTTTTTATTCTTGTATAGAGACATATAAAGAAAGGCGAAGCATAAAATCCACAGATTTATGAATTGCTACTAATGAAAAGGAAATATGATCGTAGTGTTTGAAAAAGATATAATTTCAGGTATGAACATCATTTGAAAGATGGTTAGGAAACTCTAGAACAAGAGCATGTTGGCTCCTATCATTTGTTTAACTTCTGACGCTAGTGAGTAAAAATTGAACAATTGTTTACATAAGATTAGCACAATTGAAGAGAATCACAACAAATGCTCAATCATTGAAAGCACATACGATGATAAAAAGAAAAAGAAGCTGACATAAGGATAAAAAAAAAAAAAAGTTATTTTGCAGGTCCCTCAATATGTATTAAATTAATCATCATCAAGTGAAAACTAATACCAAATAATGGCCAGAAGTCTGACTAAACTATAATGGAAAGATAAAAAAATACAAGTCAGAACCATCAAACATTCTCACATAAAGAATGACTCCAGAGCAACTACAAATGTCGTTGCTTCTAATAATTACAGAACAGCTTCATAACCAAAGCTTTCAAGCCATTCAACGTGAAAACTTTTAAGAGCCCATGCTTCAATTTCAGACCAGGCAAGGTGAACTCAAAAGTGCCTCTTATTATCCTCCAAAGAATTATGTAACCATAGTGACGTAGGAGCGTATAATTTGTTAAAAAACAAGAAAATAAAGGGTCCAAGAAGAGAAAAATTGAGGGAAAAGAGAAATCAATCTTTATTCAGGTTGTTTATTATATTGAATATGTCCCTCTATTTGTAGAGCAAATAAACTAAAAAGTTAAAAGGAAACGAAATTCTAATAAACTATAATTGTGTCAAATACCAAAATTAATCTAATCTAAATAAAAGAAACACGCTCTAAATAAAACTCTATTTTCAAATCCTAATTATATTTTAATTCTATCTTTGTTTATCTCTTTCTTGATTTCCATCATTTATTCCCGACTGAGAGAATTCGACTCCTGTGAGGTATACTGGAACTTCATACTCTAAGGAGGTCTATCTTTTGTCTTGATTAAGTATCGATATTGTATCCTTGACAGCAACATATATCTGAACTCATTCCAAGATAGGTGATCCTTCTTATGAACCAAATAATGAAACTGATCATGTAACAACTGAAGCTACAAATCATCCCGAAGAATATGATCTAACCAAGTGGGACGACATCTCCTTTTAACCAGATATCGACATGGAGCTCCAAATTATATGATCCCAACTGTTTTCATCCAATCCATTCACACCGTCGGCTTCCACCACCCGTCAAAACCTTACAACCACCTTTATACACAAAAACCTTAAAACAGCACAAAAACAACAAATTCGTCTGAGCATCGGTTTCTTTTTAGTTAGTTCAAAAAAAAAAAAACAATTAGTTTATTCATCAGTTGATATTTTCAGTTTCACCAAAAAACAAAAAACAAAGAAAGAAACCCAAAAAGTTTCTGTTACTGCGTTGCTGCTACTCCTTGTTGTTCTTCATAATTTGTTAAAGAACAAGAAAAGAAAGGGTCCAAGAAGAGAAGATCAATCTTTTTTCATATATTCAAGTTGTTTATTACATTGAATAACACCCTCAATTGATAGAGCAAATAAACTAAGAAACTAAAAGAAAACGAAATTCTAATAAACTAAAATTAATCAAATCTAATCTAAATAAAATAAACATACGTTAAATAAAACTCTATTTTAAAATCCTAACTATACTTTATTTCTATCTTTGTTTATCTCTATCTTGATCTCCATCACAAAGGTATATAGGAGCCTCTTTACATATCTCAATCCGACCATACTTGAGTAGTTGTGCTAACAATAATAAGCAAAAGCACCAAGTTAGTGAGAACAAAAGCCACAAAATGATTCACTGTAAAATCAGAGAGGTCGAGCCACTTGACTCTGATCTCATAGCATCAAGTGTTATTCATATAGCATCAGACGTGTCAACATAGTTCATAAAGATTTTCTCTTGCTTCCCAAAAAGTGAATGGCTTTTCAGAGACCTATTGATTGAGAAACATCACTAGAAAGAAAAGTAACAGAAAATGATTGCCAAATGGCTAGATTACTTAAATGCTATCATTACTATGTAAATCTACACCGAGCAAGATATAAATGTTATTCAGAAAATTGAATTTATTCCTAGTGAAAAGTTTCTAGGGAAAACTTCCTAAGTATTCTTAGGCTATGGGTAATCTGCAAATCATTGTTTTTGGTTTACCTGATTTACACTTTTTTGTCAAATTCATTTCAATGATTTATGCTTATAGAGATAGTTTGCACATAAGGTACAAGATATTGATTTACACCTGTAGTAGCTGGGCTTGTTCAGAAAGCATAATCTTGCCAAAACAAATGTGTCACAGCATAACATGAAATACAAATGATTTTCAAATGTTGTAAATGATAAAATTTGTGAGTTGCACCTCTACTAAGGAAGATCCCAATAGTTAACACTGGTATCCTATCAGAATTGTAAAAGGAAAATTCTCGATTAGAATACGAGTCGTCGAATTGTCCTGTCATACATCGTGGTACGATTTGTCAAATGTCACAAGTAAAAACTTAGTTGTCTGCAAGATCTGTAAAGCACATTGGCAATTATTTAACTTAAAGAAGTCGAGATAGAGGAGCTGAGAATCATACTGCCCAAGTACGGGTTTTAGAAAGACGCCTTGCAAGAGCATGTATGCAATAACCAACATCTGCTCGAGGTCTTGAAGCTGAAACTGCATCCAAGATTTCTGACAAATAAAGAAGATAAGTCTGCATACATAAATATTTAGACTCCAGAGAATAAATTAATTTGGAAAATAACTTTTAAAGGAACTCCATAAAATAAAGTGGAACTTGAATTGCACTTTACTGAACCAGCAACTGAAAAACTTGGCTAGTACGATCTCCAAGAATTAATATTGTATAACCAACGAAACAATGAGCATCGAAGCTTTTAGATTTTGCACATGCCAAAGGCAGAAATTCTAACTCACTTCGTACATGCTTCTCCTTTGGCAATACTTCAATGTGGTTTGTGGCTTTAAGAATGGCAACATCTAGTCCCTGAAACACATAACACTGCTTTCGGACTTCTTCAAATCAAGGAAGATGTACCAAGTTTATGGTTTGAATAAGATCACCTTAAACTCACTGTTGACTTTGGCCATTCCAACCATTGTAGAGTCTTTAAGAGCACCAACAGCTTTCCTAAAATTTTGTTGACTGCTACTTCCAGCTGCCATTTTTTTTTTTTTTCTAGGAACCAAACCCCAAGAACCCAACACGTTGAATTAGAGAACCTGGAAGAAAACGAGAAAAGGAAAGCTAAGTTTACAGATATATAGCATTAATGTACAACCTTGAGTTTCATGCCTCACTAAGTGTGTCAAACAGTAACCATTCTGTTCATTATTTTCCATAAGCCTGCATTTGAGGCGTAAGTAATCATTGTATCCACTTGTATGCCAAGAGACTAAAACTTTTATTCAGGAAATTGACATCCGTACATAATTTGTTTTTCTTCTACTTTTTTTTGTTTTTTAACTTTTGTTCCTATGATAATTCCATCATATAGAACAATGTAACCAGAATAACGTTAACTGTTTGACACTTGTCCTGAATATCAATGCACAACTCAAAAGCAAATAGTAGAACCCCAAGCTTAAGACTAATTTAAAAATGTAACTACTATTATTTTAGATTCATTTGATTCACGATATTTTAACAAGAACTTAATATAGATCTCTGATTAACACAAACATTGGAAAATAAATATTACTACTTTTCATTCTTTTATTAGATGCACTATACTAGAATTTTAAGAAGAAAATCTTAGTAATTGTGGACGACTGGAAGTTGCTTCTCGAGTCTTGACAAAGCAGCTTAGAAGTGATACAAATCCTCGGAGTGGAAATGTAGATCATCAGAAATTCAAGAAACCAAAAACCAAAATATTCAAAATAATTAATTCAATTCCCAGGGAGGTGGCTAACAGTGAACTGAGGGCAAAAGCTGTGATATTATTATAATGTCAAAAACCAATGCTCAAAAAGCTTGCACTATTAACAAAGGCCATAAAAATATTATAAAGAAAACAGTAGAAACCATCCAAAAGGAAAATAAAAAATAAGTAATATCAGTTCTACAATAACAAACTAGGCATTATTCTCGTTAAATTAGGGGTCCGCATATATCACTGCTTCTGCCAGAAAAATAAACAAAAGAAGTATGCATGAAAATTAACATAACATAAATTGCACGTTCAAGTTAAGATAATGTAGCAAGAACCATGAAATGAAAATGATAGAGCTGAAGTTACAAAGGGTATATTACAAGAAGATGATTCAATTGCTCATACCCACAAAATATAATATCATATATGCATGCGTACAACATATACAAAAACATTATGTAACAAGAAGGCAATTGAAATTGAAAGTTAAACAATATATACAAGTTTGTTCACGAATATGATTAATAATTACGACAACGTCATTCCCCGACATCCATTGATCAAAATTGTTGCACAATTTCCTGTGAGCATACATACATCTATAAGAATGGATCGATCGGAAATAGTTCGTATTTACCTCGGGATTGATCGCAGCCGGCGGAGGCCGCTAAATCAACGGAGAATTTATGATGAGAGAGAAAGATAAATGATATGCAAAAATTAGGTTATCATCATCGTAAATGTGATGTAATGAATGATGGATTAGGGAGGGAGAGATTTTATTCCATTTTCATGAAAACTTCTATGCAAATAATAAAATGTTAGGTCTGTTTTGGAGAAATTTTAATCAAAATTTTAGTCGTTAACTATCAAATCAGTCACCATTTTTTACTTTCTCTCTCACAGGTGGGGCCCATATGTTGACTATAACGGCTATAATTTTGATTAAAATCCCACAAAAATTGCTCCCAAAGACACTCTAAATTTCTAGTCCATTTTTATTAAATAATTTATTATTTAACATTGCAAATATTATAATTATGTTCTAGTTTACTTGAACTTGGCTAAAAATAAATCTCATTTTACTAAATAATTTCATTTTAATCTTGTAAGTTTATATTTGTTTTGATTAGTCAAAACTTGGAAATAAGTAAATAGTTTATTTTAATTTTATTCTATATGATCGAAAATAGAAAGAAAATTATTCAAAAAGTAACTTTGTACTTGTTTTTAATAGATGGATCGACGGGGTATAATGTCAATCAAAATAAATAAACTTGACTATTTTTTCTATAAAAATCGTTAACTACAATGGGAAATGATCATCCAACTAACAAACAAACCATGTTTCTCTTTGTTTGCGGTAAAAAATGCAACAAACAACAACATATACATGCACGCGCACGCGCACAATTCTATACTAACTTTGAGCAAAGATTGTAAGGCATTCCGTGCAAGGACTAATTATGCGCTTGCTCCACTCCAAATACTTCCGACTATTTAACCTGCACTGCATGGAACAATATTTCATTTTCAGATATCGAGTATTAATTGATGAGAGGAGTGCTGTGGATTAAATTGAAAATTTGTGTAGACATGCATAGATCGAGTTAAAATAAATCTTGGAACTCTTACCCACTATGGATGGTAATTCACTGTCCAGACGTTTCTTTAGTCTTGAAGAGGTTCTAAGTGCCACCTCCAAAACCTACCATCACCACCACCCACTATAAATGTCGTCGCCACCTCCAAAAACTAAATCTCCACAAACATGAGTTAAAAACATCTATACCTTCATGCCACCGCCACTACCATCGCTACCACCAACAACGTCTGCCACAAACCATCAACTAACCAATCGCCACCATTATGAACCATCACAAAACCACCATATACCAAAATATACACCTACCAAATCACAAAAATAAAATTAAAAATCATACAAATAAAAAGCACATTTGCAACATGGTTGTGGCGATGGTGATGTGCGAGTTCAACGACTGTGATTAATCGATAGAGAGATGGAATGGGGAGGGAGAGACGAAGGGTTAGAGGCGGTGGAAAAATGTAACGTTGGAGAGGGGGAGAGTGGGGGGGAGGAGGGGGGAATTATTTGTGTTAAGTTTAATTAATAAGACTTGTAAAATTAAATTACAAATACCTAATTTTGAGTTTTAGAAAATAAATATAGGAATAGCCTAATTAGGCAATTTACACATCGGAACAAAATATGGAGGTGAACTGAAAAATATTGATTTTTGTTAAATTTTGTAATATTAAAACTTAAACTCACGCTTAAAGAAAAATACAGTAATACACATTACGTAAATTGTTCACATGTATGTAATTTTTTTAAGGGTCCGTTTGATTGTAAAAGTGGAAAGAAAATGAATTATGGGGAATTAAATTGCCTAGACATTGTTTTACTGGAATTGTAATTAATTGTGTTTGATTGGTATAATTTTCCACCTGTAAAATATTGAAAGTTTGGTGTCTATTTGATTTTATTTTTTATGAAAATTGTCCATTAAAGTTATAATTTTTTCTACCATTGGTCTAAAATTTGTTCAAATTACCAAAAAAAATTACCATACCGAATATCATTCGTTTGTCTTTATTTTGCATGAAAATTGTCCATTAAAGAGAAAAAGATTATCATTGTTGATAGATTCCAATTGCCAAAAAAAAAAAAAAGCTGGAAAACATAAAAACCACCAAAATAACAAGAAAGCCAATCCTTTGAAATGTGGGAAAATGTGTGCGTGAGGTGTGGGGGTTCAAACGGTGCAAAATGTGGAAAATGGAAAAAAATTTCCAACTTCCAAGGATAATCTTGGTTATCAAACAAGGCCTAAATGATTGTAACTCTCATTGTTAAATAATGTTATAGTGTAGGTAATTCTATGAAATTGTTGTAACATATACTCTATTTTAATATTGTTATTGTTAGAAAATATGGGTCATGAGTCGTCCATGTTGGTGGACCCGACCCGCAAGTTATTGAAGTGAATTGGATGGATTAATTTGAATAGAACTTAAATTCATAACTTCTCTCAACTCCCACCAACTTTCGAACTTTTACATAATTCCCATAACTTGTCATGCACTAAATGAAGAGAGAGAAAAAAAAAATGGTAGAAAATGGTGAAAATTGGTATGGAAAATATCCCCAAAATTGAAAGGCACATAAAATTACTATTTTGACATGAAAACTCACAAAAATTAGCACTTAAGTTGTGGTTAATAATCCCTCTTCCATTGTGATCGGGATTGAGACCATTGGAGTACAAAAAAATTGCAGATTTGGAGTTTTGGAAAGAAATGTGATTCAACCATTCAAAATATCTTAGAATTCATCATTTTAAGTAAGTGTATTGACTCGATATTCATGCTAAAGTATATTTCGAATTACTTCATTGGTATCAGAGCCATAAAGTTGAATTCCTTGCGATAATACATGTTTAAATATGACATTACATGATACAATTGGGATATGAATTTTATATGTAAAGTTTTGAAACCTTATGTGGTCTTTAACGACATCTTTTGATAATTTTCTGATTTCTATACATTAATAATTAAGCAGTAAAATTAGTATTGTTTGAAAGGTATTTTATTGAGCTTTCCAATCATATAAAGAACTTGAATTTTGGAGTTAAAACAAAGAAGTTATGAAATTTTGAAATTTGGATGTAAATCTGAATTTTTACATGAAGACAGGTAAAATTCGAAACTTTATCATATGATAAATTTTTCTACACAATGTTTCATGTTGGGAATTACTTAACATGCACAGTGAAAAATAAATAATTTTTTCAATTTCCACTACTGATTCTTTTTGTTTAGATAGAAAATGTATTTAGAATAATATTTTTGATGAATTCTGCAAACTACTATACTGATCTTGGAACATGAATAATCTCGATTTGTAATTCACGACTGTCCAATTGTTCAACCTCCAATAGAAATCCACATAGGAAATAAGAGTGAGAGAATTATGATTTTTCTTTTCTTATACTAGCAAGAATATAAATTATATTATGTTCTTCTGAAACCCGAATGACTTATTAATATAAGTTCAAGTGGGCATGGTCAGTCTCTTAAACTTAATCCGATCCAATTTTTAATTAATCAATTTAATTAAATCCAATCCATGAATTAATTAATCCAATTAATTAATTCGGATTTACAAGCAACACAATTAATTAATTGTCCAACATTTGTTAATTAATTAATTGGTGAATCATATTTTTCTGGTTCTCCTTTTGTGTGACCCATCACGATACCCAA